TTCCACAAGTACCTCCCTCTCTCTGATCTGTATTTTCTCCTCTAAAAGTGACCCAGTCAGGTCATACCGAGCCAACAGAACCACTGCAAGGCTGCAGTCAGAAAGTACTCTACATACACACAGTAGCTCTCAGATGCCATGTCAAAAAGCACTGTCCCTTCACTGGTTATGGTGGTGCATGCCTTTAATCCCAGCACTCAGGAGGCAAAGACAGGTGGATCTCTGTGAGATGGAAGTCAGCCTGGTCTACATAATGAGTTCCAAGCCAACTGGGGCTATAGGGAGACACTGTCAAAAACAAAAGTCCCAATCACTGGGTTTGGATTTGAGGACAGTCCCTTCTCAGCCTTTTGTTCTACTTCGTTAGCCCTAGGGATCTGGAATATAGGCCCTCCACTAGCCTCTCCCATTACTCTCCCTTCCTCTTCCCCCTCCTCCCTGACTCTTTTTCCTGGGGCCAGCTCCCATCCTCACTACCCTCATCCTGTACCACCCAGCCCACAACTAGAAAGACCTGATTATCCATCAACAGAATATACTACAAAAGTGTGCTGGCCTCAGTGATGCATAAACAAACACACAGGCCAGCTCTGGAATGTCTGCACCTCCAGAGATGCAGGTGTGGGAGGGCAGCTGGGCCCTGCATTCTATGTGTCCACAGGGGTAAGGGGTGTGCCTCTCATCCATCTACCTCCACATGTGACCCTGGGCAGTTCCTGTCCCTTCCACAGTGTCATATTAGTTATCTTGTGATTCTAAGGACTGACTAGGTCTGCTGGTCTTGCATCTAATTCAGTTCACTATGTAATGATGCTACTAATTTTTAAATAGTTAACATGTACTATGCACTGGAATTCACAGAGATCCACCTGCCTCTGCCTCCCAAGTGTTGGGATTAAAGGTGTGCACCACCCAGTTCAGGGCCCCTTCCAGGGGCATGCATGTGTCTACTACCATTGTTCAAAACTTCAGTGCTGATACATGCAGGTTACCTGACTGAGGCCTGGGCTCTTAGTCATCTGTGGAGCATCCAGGTGAAGACAAGATTTCCAGCTCAGACCACAACTGCACTACTAACTGCCCCTCAAGTACTGGACCTATTGGTGTCCCTTTGCAGGGTACTAAACTCCCCATGGCCATAAATGCAGCCCCATCACACACTCTTCTGTTCGTCTCTAGAATCTACCATGCTCAACATCATTCTTTGGCTTCCACGGTGCTGGTGAAAATGGACAAAGTGCCTCTCCTTCCAGGTGGCACACACCAGGCTGCAGGACTGCTTAGTGCAGGAACTGGAGCCTCCTATGCCTTGTCCTGGTTCCTTCATCTTCCATCTTGCTCAGGACTGACAAGGATGGACTCTGTCTCTGTCTCTGTCTGTCTCTAGTTTTTAGCCCCTGTGCATTGTGCCAGCAGCTGAAAACTGAGAGGACAGGCAAGCTGGGGCGCTATCACAAGCCAGGTGTCCTAGGAAGCAAGTGCCTCCTGCCTGAGCCTCAAAGCAAGTTCTGATGGCTCCAGCCCTGTTACTTGCTTGTGGTTGGTCAAGGAGGATGGAGAAGTATATGACTTGGCCACTGGGCTTGGGAGGAGGCTCTGCCCAGCAATTGTCCTGACCTAATAGTCCTTGAAGCATAAGGTGTTTCTGCACATTACCCTGAGTAGCAGGGAGGTAACTTTGGAACGCATCTCTCTCACCTCCCTCCCACACAGGTACCACTCTGTAGACAGAACTCCACAGCCTTTCTCAAAGCCAACCTCTAGGCTGCAATTCCCCTTCAAGCCTAGCTGAAGTCAGTAGTGCTTCACTCTCCCTCCACCTGCACACAGCAGGGTGGACATTTCCTTTCCTGTCTGATTTTTGTGTGACCTATGATGTCACCCTATAAAGTCCCTATGCCTGAAGTGGGACAGGGGAAAGAAAGACTCAAGCCCTATTCCAAGAATCAGGAAGAGCTAGAATTCCCCAAGCAGCAAAACATGCAAGTTCCAGAGCCACGCTTCTCAGGACCTGTGTGTTCTGGTGGAAGGGACCAAATGGACCTGAGGTGACACAAAGAAGTCAGAGGTTCCGACTAGTGCATGAGATTTGCAAGCCAAGGGGAACTCTTTGGGAAACTTGGGGTGGGACTCACTGGGGAGAGCCAGCTGGAAACAGAAGAGATGCTAGACCAAGTGGACCGCGGGCATCGACCTCAGGTGGAGGGGGAAGAAAGGAGACGAGAAACAGAAGATGGAGACCTGAGAGGCTGAGAAAAAGACAAAGAGGAACTGGACAACAGACAGGTCCTGCGTGGAAAGCCACGTAGAAGAATGGGCAGCCAGCCAGCCCAGAGCTTAGGAACCGGTCGGCAGGCCTCGAAGCTCGGTGCGGCCCCCGCCCCCGGCCACTCGGGAGCTCCAGGTCACCTCCCCGGTAGGGGCGGGGCGGTCATTTTCAGCCCCGCCCCCGGGCCGCAGAGGCCGCCCCTAGGGACCGCTGGTGCCGCCCAGTAGACGGTGGGGGTCCCAGCTGGTGCGTTATCAACCTCCTCCAGGAGCGGGCCCTAGCCACCGAGCGGCTGCCAGTCTGAGATTAGGCCCCTGGAGGGTCATTAAGCAGCGGCCTGGCCCTGGCCCAGCCTCCTTCCCTCCTGATCCGGCCAGGCCGCCAGGTGGGAGCCGGCGATAAGGACCAGGGGTCTTGGAGGCTCTGGGCAGGCGTTTCTTACTCCCAGCTCCGATCGAGGCAGGAACATGGAGTGGGGGAGGAGAACTGTAGGTCCGGGTCAGCCCAGCCGCTGGAAGGGCCCCGAGGGTTCCCACAGTCCACACTGAGAGAGAGGGAATGGTGGGTGAGCACCCCAGGCTCTCAAAGCAGAGCAGGGCATCCCCCTCAGCTTCTAGGGGACAAGGTAAGCAGGCAACACCTCACAGGTGACTCAGCTCTGACCCAGGGGGTAGCCTGCAGGGGGTGGGAGGCTGGGGAGTTAGGGGGTCTGACTTGAATCCATCTACACTTCCCAGGAGCAAATGGGGACAGAGGTGAGAAGGAATGTAGTCACCTGCAAGTGGGCCTGGCAGCCAAAAGTTTCCAGCCTGGGGGCTGGAAGAAAGAAAGGGTATTTGTGCTTTAGCAGAGACCTGTACTCTAACAGCCTCTGTCTCTCTAAGTGAGAGAAAACCTGGGCTGGCTGGCTGGTCCTTTGGCTTTGCCTTATGCAATTTTTTTTTTTTTTTTTTTTTTTTTTTTGAGAGCTGGTCTAGAACTCGCTATGTAGACAGGCTGGCCTTGAACTCAGAGATCCATCTGCCTCTGCCTCCCAAGTGCTGGGATTAAAGTCTGCACCACCATGCTGGCTTTATGTAGATCTTGTGTATGGAACTTAGGTCCTCCTGCTTGTGAAACTGGTACTTTACTGACATCTGTTTCCCCCTTAGGGTTTTCCTTTTTCTATTTTTTTTTTTTTTTTTTTTGGTCTTTTTTGAGACAGGGTCACCCTGGAGCCTCAGCTGGCCTAGAACTCACTATGTAGACCAGGCTGGCCTTGAACATTGAACTCACAGAGATCCTCCTGCCTCTGCCACCCCTAGTGCTAGGATTAAAAGTGTGAACCACCATACCCAGCTTTGCCTAATGCTCTAATCAAGGAATACTTCCTAGAGGAAGAGGGAAAAGAAAAACGAATAGGCAGAGTTTAAACCGTCAGAGAGGAGTGAGAAGGTGTGGGTTACAGAAAACCACAGAAAGCAAATTCTTAGAGGAGGAATCACAAAAGCAACCACCACAGTGCCTAAAGCTGAAAGCCAGATAGGGCAGGAAAACTTCCCTGGGTCACACAGCAAGGCAGGGGGAGACCTAGAACAGAAACACTCCCCATTCTCTCCTCAGAGTTCTGCCTCTGCTGCAGGCCAGGGCCTAACCCTTAGGGTAATGATTTGTGGGTCCTCCCTGGGACATTCAGGCAAGCCTTGGACCATAAAGGAATAGCTGTGACAGGGCCACATGGGTATCAGAGGGACTTCTTGGGACAAGAGGTCTCTGGCTGTCCTCTCCACCCACTCCTCTGGATCTGAGAAAGCTTGAGAGGGCGGGGGTATGTCTGTCCCAGGTTATCAGCACACAGAAGGACAGATGCTGTTCAGTGAGACAGGCAGTCACAGAGGTGGGGACAGGTCAGGCAAACAGGCACTCAGCTCAGTCATGCTTTCTCTTCTGCCAGACCCAGTTCCCTGATCGTCATTCCATCCAAAGCTCTCAAGTTAGGACGCTGGTGAGGGCTGGGTCCTATTCTGGCTCTGCAAGAGGCTAGCTGAATCCTCCATAAAGGAGCAGTGAGCTCAAAGTGATAACAGCTCTCCCAAGTCACACAGCAGTTGGCAGAGAACTGAGGACAAGAATTTGGGCTTCCTCAGACTCAGCCCCACAGTTCCCTTTCTCAGCATGTACTGTCTAATAACCCTGAGGGGACTCTGAGAAGGGGATGGATAAGAGATTATCCACCACAAGGTCAGGCAGATGGGGAAGGAGGGGTTTGCTGCTTGGCTGCGTGGGAAAGGCCCAGAATCCCTGTGAAGGGGGAGTGGGGATAGGGGGTGGTTCTTGCAGCACAGAGTGAATGAGCTCCCTGGATCATGAGCTTCTTACTCTTCCCATCATACAGGAAAGACACATCTTGAAACAGATCCGTGCTAGGGACAGGCAGGATAACCAGCTCTTATCAGGGTCTTCCCTTCCCTGGAAGATCTCCTGCCTACTCTGAGCAAACTAAGGGTTTGGTCTGAGGAAACAAGGACCACCCACAGAGAGTTTCAACTCTCCCATGCGTGCCCACACCCAGGCTCCAGAGGAGATGCTTTCCTCTTGTCCCCTCCTAGATAGACCCTCCCTTTCTCCAGTCAGGCTGCCATGGCCCTAGATATATATGGGCTCAGGGATTCCTGGGTAATCTGTAAAGCCACCATAGCCATGACTCTCAGAAGGTGGTTGTCATAATTAAGGAGACCAGGCAAGGCCTTACTGGAAGCCTAAGGGCTATGCCTTAGCCTCAGCCCCAAAATATAAAAAGTCTTTATTTCACGGAAACAAGGGCCACTTCCATAGTTGCAGGAGGATGAGAGGCAAGATGGGAGGGACTGAACTGGGTATCTTTTAAAAGGCTCTTCAGAATTGGATGGGAAACCCTAGGAAGACCCCAGGACCACACCCCACCCAGCCTGTGATCAGCTGAGTCTGAGCTGTAGCCTGGCTGATTATGATTCAGGAGGGCTGAGAGGGTCAACCTGTTTTGGTAGATTCCCAAACAGCAGGGACTGGGTGAGGCAATGGCATCAACCCTAGGTTCTGTATAGCCTGGGGTCTGGAGCCACAGGCCAGCATGTCACACAGGTGTGCTTCGGACCCTGCCCTCCTCCTCCAGCACATTCTCGTAGGCATTCTTGTGCTCACTGGACCTGAAAGAGGAGCCAAGGCCTGCTGAGTCTTCAGCCTCCCTTTCACATCCCTTTCCCCCTCTCCATCCTGCACCAGGCTTTCTCTCCACCAGGCTTTCTCTCCAGAATTAGCATCTAACTCCCACATGGCAGTGACAGGAGGCTTCCCCTGAACACATCTGAGCCAGTGCACCTGAACTAGAGGTTTCTCAGCAACATCCCCACCCAAGCTCCATCCCCTCTTTTGAGTTCCCTACTGAGTCTCCCATGAGCTCCCTTCCCACAGAGTCCTCCCACTCACTTACACTTTCACAACCCCCTTTCCTTATTGAACCTTTTCTCACTGCACCACTACCCTACCCTACCAAGGCATTGTCCCATATCTGAGTCTTCTCACCAAACTAAGGCTTCATTTCCCTCTGGAGCCTTAGAGTCCTCACTTCACAAGACCTTCTCTTCACCAGCCCTTCCCCCCACAGAATCCACTACCCTCCCCAGCTCCCTCAACAGCATCTCACCTGAAGCTGGATGCCACTGAAGAATACCTGCCGTCCATTCCCACCAGGACTCCATCTGCCTTGTTTCCAATGGTCATGATCATGTTCCCAGGCTCCCTGGAGATGGGACTTATCAGTAGGGCTCATCAATAACTGTCCCACCCAAGAAGACGCTATTCTGGGCCCTGGTTCTCAAGGCTCAGGGCATAGAGTGCCCCTGTTCAGAAAGCACCTCTGCTTTCTGAGCCCTGCTGGCACCTGCTTCTGACCTCCTCCTCAGGCCTCATATCCCTCTGCCTGCTCCATGGAGAAAGGGAGGAACACAGAGAGTTACAGAACACTTGACCTAAATCCCTCTCTCCACTGCCTCCATATTCCCTCTCTCAGCCCCAGGACAGACCCAGCAGGCCTCAGAGTACAACCCAAGCTAGGAACAGATGTGGTCAGTGGCCACAGAAGGCAGAGCTGGGCATGAGCATGCATTTCTGGCAAAAAGCGCCTGGCCTCCCCCACAGAAACTGCTCTTGTGAGGCCTGAGAGACCTTTGTACCTGTTCATCTGTGCTTAGACATCCTACAAGTACATCACACCCAATGTTTAACTCAGCTTGTCCTCTGGGTCTTCTGCTCAGCAAGTCTTCTGGAGTCAATTCCTGTCTTTCTTCCTCTAGTGCCCCCTGTCTCCTCCCAAGTTCCTTCCCAGATAGCTCGAAGACCTCTCCCTTCTCTGAGCTGCCTCTGTTGCCTCCAAGTCCAGACTGTCTGACCTCATAACTCAGCTTCCTCATGGCTCACTAAGCCTGAAGACATCCTCACACACCACGCACCTGCACTTGACAGGCAGAGGGACTCAACTAAAGCCAAATCTCATCAGTGTTGCCTGGCCCAACCTTATCAGCTGCGCTCTGGGACTCCCTGTTTCTCCCTCCACCCCTGAACTCCTTGTGCATCCTCTGCAGGCCATGTGAGACTGCTGCTGGGCCCCTGGCCACCAGGCCACCTTGGTGAAAGGTGGAAAGCATCTCCTAAGACAGATGCAGCTTTATCCCAAGAGCTCATTAACCTTCGCTCCACCTCAGTGCCAGGCCCCAAACTCAGGCCTCAGGCCTACTCTTTCCATGCCACCCCGTCCTTCAGGTTTTGGGGTGAATATGCACTGAAGCGTTGCTAACCCTCCAAGGCCAGCTGAGGCCATGCTCTGTATTCGAACTTGTATTGCCCGTCCAGTCTGTATGCCCATAAGACCCTCCGCAGCACATGCAATTGATTCTCCATAAGGATGGGGCCTTCCACTTCAGAAGGAAGGTCAGGCTCCCATCCCAACCCCACACATGGAAACATTGAGACAGCAAAGAGAGAAGATGTTTCCCTCAAACTCATGGGGAGAGGCTGCTAGAGCTGTGGGAATAACAGAGCACAGGAGTGGGAGCCAGAAAGCCTCAGTACTAATTCTGGCAAGTCCTCCTGGGACCTTGAGCCCCAGTTTCCCTTCCACCCAGTGAGAAGACCATAGCCAGACTTTCTGAGATCCATCCCCAACTAGCACAAAGCAGTGGTTCTGGGGCCACCCTGCCCACTGGGGTCTGTCCAGCCCCAGGCCTTCAAGCAACACTCACGGCTCTTCCTGGCACCAGAAGTGATTGACAGCAAAGACGATTGCAACAAGGACCAGGAACACGGCTACTGCAATGAGGCCCTGCATCCAGGGCTGAAGGTTCCCTAGACCTGAAAAAAGAAGGGGGACAGAAGGTCCAGAATAGGCTTGATCTTGTGTCAGATGCAGCAGCCTCAGTGGAGCCAAAAGAGACATCTGAGTGGCTAGAGTAGAGATAAAGCCTGTCTACTCTCTCTGAGTATGAGGAAAAGACAGAGGCCCAGAGCACACTGAAGAAAGCCTGAGAAGCCAAGGGCACAGGCTTCAGGGTCTGCATCTGAGATCCAGGTGCCCAGAGCCTTCTTCCTGCACTCCTCCTGGGGTCAGAGCCCCCAGGGAGTGTCGGGGGTCCAGGGAACAAACAGCACCCCAGATGTCTGGCCTAGGCCCTGCCAGCTGGGAGTGGCCACTCCTCTCCCACTGGTGGCCCAGAGCTGCCAGACCAGGCTGGCATCTGGAAGATCCTGTTCTGGAACAAGAAGCTCTCCAGAAAGACCAAGAGGAGTGAGGTCAACCCAGCCCTGCTCAGCTGGAGTGCAGGGAGCTAAAAGAGGTGAGACTGAGGGGTAGGGAAAAGAAGCTTCCAGATTCAAGCCCCTTCACCTCCTCCAACAGGGTGCCCAGGGCATGGGGGTTAAAGACCAGGTTAAGGCCAAGCCATGAACCCCCTCTGCTTTTTGACCCTTAAGATTTCCAAGAAGTCTCTGCCCTCAGGCCTCTGGTCAAGGAACTCTAGTCTCTCAATGAGCTTGAAGACCTCACCCTGAAAAGGAAAGAAACTCAACAGATAAGAATCCCAGGAGGAAAGAGAGGTTAACAGGAGGTTTGGGAGGGTGTCCTACCTCCAGGCAAAACACCTGTATCCCTAGACCCAATCCTACATTATGAAAGGCTGGGCATTGAAAAACCACTCTGTAACACCCCCACTCAAAAGTCCTCCTTGAAGTTGACCCTAACTCTCCCCTGCTGAAGTGAAGGCCTTGCCTATTCTTGGCACTCTCTCTGAGCCTGGCAGGTACTGAAGAGAGGGAAGATTGTAGAACTCTCAGGGCAGCCCTGGCTTAGCTCCCAGGGTTGCAGATGATATGCAATGTGGTTGCCCTGCAAAAGTCGGTGTTTTGGATTCATCCCTCCCCACCCTGACCAAGAAACAATAGCTCAGACCCATCAATTCCTTGTTTTTATTTATTTTTTATTTTATGTGTTATGAGTATTCCGCTTGTATGTAAGTGTACCACATGTATGCAATACCTGTAGAGACCAGAAGAGGACATCAGATCCCCTGGATCTGGAGTTACAGGCGCTTGTTAGCCACCATGTGGATGCTGGGAACTGAACCCTGGGTACTCTGCAAGAGCAATAAGTGCTTCTAACCGCTGAGCTATCTCTCCAGCCTCAGACTCATCACTTTCTCTAACCAGTGATGCTGAGGCTTTCGGAGCAACCTGGGAGACCCCACCTCCATTTCTTCCTCCAGTGTCTCTTGCAGCCAGCTCCCCCAAACACAATCTTCTGCTCCTCTTTCCATGGCTCTGGGGAGAGCTTATAGAACAAGGAGCAGAGTCCAGGGCAGGAGAAAGTCTGGGACTTGGCCATACTGCCGTGCAGTATAATGTAAGTTACTCAACCTTTCTTGTACTTCAGTTTCTTAGAAAGCCTCCAAGATCTGGAACTTGGAGGTGAAGCTGGTAACACATGAGAACTCAGGAAAGGGTGTCCTAAACATACCTTTACCAGCACCCCTCTGGATGCCAGACTACTTGGTGCAAAGCCCTTCCACACCTCCAACTTGGCAGTAGCTCTGGGAGGTGGGCAGGGTGAAGTTTACTATCCTCATGTCATGAATGAGAAAACTAAGTCTCACTGGGACAGTAATTTCCTAGAGCACAAAGCAAAACAGAAACTGGGCTGGTGAAGAGTGCAGCCATTGTGGGGCCACTCTGGAGAAGTTTTGACCAAGAGGTCAAAGCCATGGGCAAACCTCTGCAACATTTCTCCTCCCCTAGAACAAGCATTTGAGGGTAGCTTGGGCACACTTGAGCCTCATAGCCTCATAGCCCCTGGCCCCTGCTCTCAGGACCCAGCCACCTCTGAGGCAATTCCTGCTATATGATTTGGATCTCGACTCCCACTCTTCCCCTAATCCCCAGACCCAACAAGTCCCCTGCTTCACATCTCCCACTGGAGGAAAGCCAATCACAGACACAGTCTGGGTCAAAGGTCTGTGACTAGCCCAGTACCTACTCCCTCTCCAAAGCACAGGCGTCCCAGGACATCACCCCATCCTCCCTGTGTCACCTGTGTGCAGCCAGCCCTCTCCTCCCTGAAGCCCAGGTGCTCCTGTTCCATGCTACCTTGTTGACAGCTGGCAGGTGGCACTGAGGTGAGCAGACCCAGCATGAGCAGGCTGAGGGCCAACATGGTTGCAGGCAGCTCCCGGGATTTGGTCTACTGCTGGTGTTTGGGCTCCTGGAGCTTCTGGAGATCTGGGGTGTTCGTATGAGATCAGCCCCAGTGCAGTCTGGCCCTGAAGGAGAAGAGCCAGTGGGTTAAGCAGAAAGCGAGGGAGGGAGAGTGGGGAGGGAAGACTGGCAGGTGGTAAGGAGAAACTGCCCTCCCTTCCATGGAAATGAGCTCCCTGGCTGATGCCCAGCCCACCAAATTGGCACTGGAGGCCACTCTTCAGAAGCCAGCCAAGGAAGTGAGCGGGTAGAAGAGAGAGTTGTAGGGGAAGTCCCAGACACCTCAAAGCCTGCACTGCCTCAGAAGTCACACACCCACACCCACACCACCACCAGCACCACCACCCCACCCCCTGCAACTCCCAGCTCACCTTCCCTGGCAGTGGGGCCAGGCTCTGGGGAAAGGTGACACATTGTCACTCCTGCCTGGAATGGCCCAGTGGGTGGAGCTTCTTGGAAGACTGACAGTAGGATTAAGACACTAGCTGGCTGGTTCAAGGAGCCTGGGGAAAACACCCTTATGTTTGAAAGGCTCAGGGAAGACTCAGCTGCCCACTTGCCCCAGAGCCTAGTCTACTTCCGGCTCTCCCCTCATCTGTTCCTGCTCCACCCCTGGGACACAATGTGGTTTCAGAGTCCCCAGCCCTGGCCAGTCCAGTCTGGCTCCCTTAATCCAGCTTTTCTGCAGCCCAGTTAAAGATTTCCTCTTGGCTCCTTGGTCCCTGGTAACTCAGCAGACCTCAGACAAGGTTTGACTTGGTCAGAGGCCTTAACAACTATAACCAAGAGCAGCCTTGAAAAAGTTCACCCATCCCTGGTACACCAACACCACAGAGCCAGCCAGACCCCTCCAAAGAGGCAAAGCCCACCCCTTGTCCTCCAGCACGTATAACATCTACTTGATCCTCTAGGAACTGAGAATTCAAGTACCTACTGAGGCATAAGGTGAGGGCGTGCTGTGACTCCTTGCCCAGAACACCCCGGAATACAGGAGCTACAATACTGAGAGCAATTCAGGCTCCTTCCTCAAGAGGGGGAAGAGGAGCCGCCTTGGAACTGCTTGAATGGGTTCTCTAAAGGACACTGCATCAGCCCTTCCCAGTGGACACTCAGGTAACAGACCAGAGTACCGGCAGGTGCTCGGGTACTTTTGGAAAGCCTCAAGGCACAGTCATCATGCCCATCTGTACCTGAGTGAAGAACATGAAGTATGTGATCCAGGTCTTAAACAGACTAAGTCAAGTTCCCTGGCTGCCAGAAGAGCCAATCTCAAAAAAGTGGGGCTTTACCAAGTTTAATAAGGACAAGTTTGGAAACAAGATAGCTAAGAATTAGGTGGCTCTGGAGTCAAACACAGTTCATGGTGCTGCCTGCCCTGGGTCACACTAGATAGGGTGAAGAACATGAAGTATGTGATCCAGGTCCTAAACAGACTAAGTCAAGTTCCCTGACTGCCAGAAGAGCCAATCTCAAAAAAGTGGGGCTTTACCAAGTTTAATAAGGACAAGTTTGGAAACAAGATAGCTAAGAATTAGGTGGCTCTGGAGTCAAACACAGTTCATGGTGCTGCCTGCCCTGGGTCACACTAGATAGCACATCCTGTCCAAGAAAAAAAGAAGAAATAAGGGAAATGTTGGTAGACTAAGCAGTCTGCGAGCTGGAGCTCACAAACTGCTGCTCAGAGACAGCCCTTTATCTTGTAGAATTCTTCTGCCTTGGTCTGCTTCCTCTGCATATGCATGTATAGTGGGCCTGTGACTCACAAAACTGGGCTATTCTCAGAGGGAACTTTACCTGGTGTTGTAGGGGATCTCTGCCTAAGTTGAACTATGCCTCCCATACCTGTGTATCCTGTTCTCTTTTCTACCCAACAAGGGATAAGAATCTTCAGACACACAGGAAAGCAGGCATGGTGTGTGTTAATGAACAGCCAGGTAACCACTGGTTGGAATGTAAGGAATGAGGTGGAATTTAACAAATATCCATCATGCCTTCCTCAGGGGATTTTAAGGGGACCAAGGTCAAATCTCCATTAGAGAAAATGAAAAGGTCATCAGAGATGCAAGAGGCAGACTTGGGGATGCTGCCAGGGAGTCATACAGCCTGTGACAAGACCAGTAGGCGATGGCTTTGAACCATGCTTAAGGGGTAGAAAAAGCAGGGTGTGAGGGCTGAAGAGATGGCTCAAAGGTTAAGAGCACTAGTACTGACTGCTCTTGCAGAGGACCTGGGTTGAGTTCCCAACACCTACTCGGTGGCTAACAACCATCTGTAACTCCAGTTCCAGGGGATCCGACACCCTCTTCTGGCCTCTGAGGGTGTTGCATGCATGGGTGCACTTAAACATGCAGGCAAAACACTCATACGCATAAAATAAAAATATATATTTTTTAAAGACAAAAAAGAAAAAGCAAGGTGTAGTTTCTGGAGCAGTGACTAACTGGAGATGGGGAGGAGTAAATGACTCCCAGATTAAGTTTCTGGCATGGGTAATTGGGTTGGTAGCAGTGCCTGGGGTTCAGGTACATACATGATTTCCCCAGGATGTAGTGTACAGTGTGTGTGTGTGTGTGTGTGTGTGTGTGTGTGTGTGTGTGTGTAGAGCAGGTGAGACCAGGATGCATGCCCAACACATATCTTTAAAAACTAAAGAGGAGGCAGGATGGAGCAGGAAGACAAAATCCCAGAATACTGGGTTTTTCCAGCAGCCGTGGATAGACAGATCCAAAGAGAGGTGTACGGAGAAGCCACTTCGATGGCACCCACCCCACCAGCCAGTGTCCTCAGTGCCCAGACTGCCACCAATATGAGAACCCTAGTCTCTGCCTTCTACCCCTAAGTACCCCTAACTTCCCTAAAAACCCCAGAGAAAACAAAGATTCCGAGGTCCTTACTTTGGACACAGTGGTGGAGGAAGATGAGCAGGAAGGACACCAGGTGACCAACAGGAGGAAAACAGCTCCCAGGTCAAAGTCCTCAGCTTGAAAGCAAAAACAAGTTGTTCCGGAAAGAGGGGGTGGGGTGGACAATTGGCTTTGAGGCCAGCGTCTGCTCCCTGGAGGCTCTCGCATAGGGAAGAAGGCCATCTCCCAGCCTTGTGGACAGACCTGTCTCCTTGGTAACAAGGTGACCTCCTGCTGTCTGGCTGAGGCCCAAGTCAGGATGGGTCTCAGCAGCCCCCACCCCCCTGAGCCAGACAGCTGTTTCATCCACACTCAGTTCCTCCCTCATGTTCCCAGCCCAGTTCTCACAGTAATCATCTGGCTCCTAGACAAACCTTCCACCTGACTAGAGCTGGTGTGTTCCAGTGTTTCCCAGAGACTCGCCCAACTACATCTTGACTGCCATTCCACTTACTGTCAGCAGGTGGCACTGTGTGGCTCCAATCCCAGGCTGGCGGTGTGGAGGTGTGAACACAGTTTGCAGCTTTAAGATTTGGTAACTGTCCTCCAATTCCCAGGGTTTCAGGGTTAGAGGAAGGGAAGGTGAACACTGGTATATAAACAGGTACTGGTGCTGAAAGCAAGGCATATGGCATGACCAGCGTTGTGATGTAAGAGAGTAGAAGGTAGCTGAATCATTGAGGAAGGGCATCCTGGAGGTGATGCTAAGGTGAAGTTAACCAGGCTGTGCAACTGCACAGAGAAGTATGATGGGAAAGGCCATGCTGGCAGAGCTCAGCCTGAGGAAAAAGCCATTCAAGACAAACATTTCTTTGTCTTTCTTCCTTCCTTTCTTCTTTTTTTCTAGAAATTGAATCAAGGGCCTCACACATGCTAAGCAAGCACTCTACCACTGAGCTACATCCCTAGGCCTCAAGAAGGATGTTCAGCTAGGTGTGGTAGCCCATGCTTTTAATCTCGGGACTTGGGAGGCAGAGGCAGGTGAATATCTGTGAGATCAAGGATAGCCTGGTCTACATAGCAAATTCCTAGGCCAGCTGGGGATAAAGGAAGGTGTTTGATGTTCATTTACTGCTGATGGGAATGCAAACTTGTGCAACCACTATGGAAAGCAGTGTGGAGAACCCTCAAAAAACTGAAATGAACCTACCATATGATCCAGTGATACCATTCCTTGGCATATACCCAAAGGACTCATCATACTGTAGAGATACCTGTACATCCATGTTTGTTGCTGCTCTCTTTACAATCACTAAGAAATGGAAACAACCTAAACGTCCCTCAACTGACAAATGGTTAACGAAAATGTGGTACATCTACTCCATGGAGTTCTACTTATCAGTAAGAAAAGATGAAATTTGCAGGTAAATGAATGGAGCTAGAGAGTGTTAATACTAAGTGAAGAGACATAAATGCAGAAAAGTAAGCAACGTATGTTCTCCTTCATTTGTGCATTGCGCACCAATCCCTTATGTGTGGGTATATAAATTCTGATGTAACAACAGGAGCCAGGTAAAGGCAAAGGATATGTGGCGGTGAAGGAAAAGAAACAAACTGAAAGGGGGACAGTAGGGAACAGATGCTACCTGAGGGAGGTCGAAAAAGTGAGAATAAGCAGACAGGAGGAGAGGAGGAAGGGACATGCAACAGACCATGGTGTGGGGGAGCAGGGAAGTCAGGAAGGGAAAGATAGCGGGAGTTGGGAGGTATTGGGGGAGGGTGGGGATAATGGGGGCACTGTGATTAGGGAGGGAGGGAGGAGGGAGTCTGGAGGGGAGAAAAAAAGAGTGGAGATGAGTGAATCTCGGGGGGCAGGAAACCTAGAGGGAAAAGTGATGCCCTAGAAACCCTATGAGAAATGCACATAGAGTGTCTGAACATTAATGCATTTGTATACCTAGGAGCTGCTTGGCAGGGAACGGAGTGCCAGATAGACGAGGCCTCCCTTACAGTGACAAACATGCCAGATAGCACTCATCGAAGAAGCTTCTTTTTGCAGCAGATGGAGGCTACTGCAGAGTTGCACATCTGGTCAGGCACAGAGTGAACATATGTCTCAGTGCCCAGTACTAGGTGACACATCTGTAGTCAAATCTCTACAACTAAGGCTCATGGAACATAGCAGAATAAGAGATAGAGGGTTAATGCACCCCTCAACTCTTACCAGTGAGGCTTCCTTGTACATTCAGAGTGTGATGCACATAGAAGGCCACAACTGGCCAAGTTTTGGAGAATAAGAGACTGTAGGGTATAGGATGGGACTCCTATATGGAACCTTACCCACCCACGGCTCAGGGACCACTGAGGAAGAGGAGGCAGCATGATTGTAAGAGCCAGGGCTGGTTCATGAACACAGGAAGGTGGAGGCTTCCAAACCACTGGAGGCTGGCTCACGTGCACCTGTGGCAGTGGTGGCATCAAACTTGGGACCCATGTCAGCTCAATTAAACAAGGGACCAAGGGGAGGGGAGACCAGGCAGCGGACCAGCACTAGATTGAGAACTACTTGAGACTGATTGTTGCTGGGTAAGGGAGAG